AGACTATTGATTTTAGAACATTGAACTGGCCTTGCATACCTGAAATAAATTCCACTTGATCTAAGTGATATGTAATTTTATTTATGCATTGTTGGATTTCATTTGCTAACATCTTGGGGTGCATTTTACATCTATGTTCATTAAAAATATATTGGTCTATAGTTTTCCTTTCTTATAATGTTTTTGTCTCATTTTGGTATTAAAATAATGCTGGTCTTTTAGAATGAAATACAATGCACTTCCTCTGCTTCTATCCCCTAAAAAAGATTATATTAGAATGGTATAATTTCTTCCTTAAATGTTTGGTAGAATTCACTAATGAACACATCTGGTTTTGGTGCTTTCTGTTTTGAGCAGTTATTAGCTATTGATTCCATTTCTTTAGTAGATATAGGCTATTCAGACTGTCTGGTTGTTCTTGTATGAGTTTTGGCAAATTGTGTCTTTTAAGGGATTGATCCATTTTATCTAAGTTACCAAATTTATGGGCATATAATTTTTTGTAATATTCCTTTATTATCCTTTTAATATCCATAGGATCAGTAGTGATGTCCCATGTTTCATTTCTGATGTTAGTAATTTGTGTTCTCTCTTTTTCTCTTAGCTAGTCTGTATTACAATATAAGGACTGTTGTTTAAAACATTCAAAGAATTCTTAAAAATCAACATTAAAAAAACCAAACAACCCAATTAACAAATGGGCAAAATATCTTAACATATACCGCAGCAAAGAAGATATACAGATGGCAAGTAAGATTATGAAAAGATGCTCTATATCATATGTCATTAGGGAAATGCAAATTACAACAATAATAAGATACTACCATACACCTATTAGAATGACTAAAATCTAGAATACTGACAACATCAAATGCTGATAAGCTGTGGAACGATAGACACTCTCATTCATTAGTGGTGGGAAGAGAGTTCAGTGGTCTTTTACAAAACTAAACATACTCTGCTTTTCAGGAAGATGGCACCAAAAGTGAAGAAGGAAACTCCTGTCTGTCCCAACCCAAAGCCAAAGCAAAAGCTTTGAAGGCAAAGAAATTAATGCTAAAAGGTGTGCACAACCACAAAAAGAGGAAGAAGGAGGAGGGGGAGGGGGAGAACAACACCCACATGTCACTTACTTTCTGGTGGCTGAGGACACTGGGGCTCTGAAGGCAGCCTAAATATCCTTGGGAGAACACCCCAGGAAAAACAAGCTTGACCACTCTGCCATCAAGTGCCCCCTGACTATGGAGTCAGCCGTAAAGAAGATAGAAGACAACAATACGCTTGTATTCATGTGAATGTCAAGGCCAACAAGCACCAGATCAAAGAGGCTGTGAAAGTGCTCTGTGACATCAATGTGGACAAAGTCAACACTCTCATCAGGCCTTTTGGAGAGAAGGCATATGTTTAACTGGCTCCTGACTATAATGCTTTGCATGCTGCCAATAGAATTGGGAAATTGGGATAATCTAAACTGAGTCCTGCTCGTTAATTCTAAATATAAAGAAATTATACGGTAAAAACAAACACATAAACATACTCCTACCATACAATCTAGCAGTTAGGCTCCTGGGTATTTACCCAAAGGAGTTGAAAACTTAGGTCTACACAAAAACCTGCACATAGATGTTTGTATCAGCCTTATTCACAATTGCTAAAACCTGGCAGTGAGCAAAATGCTCTTCAGGAAGTAAATGGAGAAATAAACTATGATACATCCAGACAGTGGCATATTATTCAGTGCTAAAAAGAAATGAACTATGAAGCAGTGAAAAGACTTGGAGGAAACTTAACTCATATTCCTCAGTGAAAGAAGGCAATTTAGAAAGGCTACATACTGTATGATTCCAACTATATGACATTCTGGAAAAGGCAAAACTATGGAGTAAAAGACCAGTGGTTGCCTGTGTAATACCGTAATGATAGATACATGTCATTATACATTTGTTCACACCCATAGGATGTTAACACCAAGAGTGAAATGTAATATAAACTATGGACTTTGGATGATGATGCTGTGTCAATGCAGGTTGACCAGTTTAACAAATGTACCACCCTAGTGGGGGATGTTGATATTGTGGGAGGCTGTGCATATGTGGGGTATGGTGAGTACAGGAAATCTCTGTACTTTCTCCTCAGTGCTGCTTTGAATCTTTAAGTGCTCTAAAAAAATAAAGTCAATATAAATAATAATAAATAATAAAGTAAAAATAAGCTATCTGGAGCGAGAGAATAGGCGAGTGGAGAAAAGGGATAAAAGCTAGATTTCTTTGATTATGCATATACCTCTTTTGTAGATTTGGCGTTGGAACCAGGTAAATACATAATTATAAAATAATATTACAGTTTTACAAGCAACCCCTTAAGAAAGAAGTAGTTAATTAAATAAGCCTGTGTATCCTATGGGTGACAAAACTACAGAGAGGAATGATTGAGTGACTTTACATATGTAATTTAACTGAACATCCCTAGGGAGATCTACTCTGAGGACAAAAAGGTCAGCAAACCAATCTTATACTATTTTCAGTAATTATATTGTTGGCTGCAGTGTTGTTTTTGTGATTATGAAATAGTCATGTGTATATTGTGGAATGAAATGAGTGAATATTTTTGTTGACATTGTTGAGAACTAAGATTTTTCTTAGATCTCAGTTAAAGGGAGATACAGATATAAGATCAATTAGGTTAAGTTAAAAAAAAACAAGGAAAAAATTCATAGATCTAAATTGGATATAAAATATTGCTAAAAACTCATGATGAATTTTTATCTTAAAAGTTTTTTTCCAGCTGTTCCCTATTGTGGCCATCGTAAAAATGCCAGCTGATCAAAATAAAGTTTAATCCCTTTGTGACTTCAAACTGGAGTGAGAACTGTAGAAGGCATTTTGATGCACCTTCCCACATTCCCAGGAAGATTATGTATTCTCCTCTTTCCAAAGAGCTGAGACTGTGCAGTGTTTGACCCTTGCCCATACAATAAGATAATGAAGTTCAGGTTTTTCAAGGACACTACAAAGGGTAGGAAATCGCAAAGTAGTCCAGGTTTACAGCAAGAAATGTGCCATCCACACTGAATGAGTGCAGCAGGAGAAAGCTAATGGACAACTGTTCATGTGGACATTCAGCCAAGTGAGGTGGCTATCACTAGGCTAAAGCTGAGGAAGAATAGCAGAAAGACCCTTGAACACAAAGTCAAATCTTGCCATGTAGGAAAAGAAAAAGGTGAACACAAGGAAGAGACAATTGAGAAAATGCAGAAATAAAGTAATCTTACATACAATCTTAATAACTTAAAATGAAAATTTTTTCCCCAGTTCTGCCCACTGTAAAGGCCTAGAAATAATGATTAACCCAATAGCAATGAGCCCCTCTAGTGCCCAGATTATGGTTCTAAAAGTGATTTCTTACCCAGAAGAACCAGAAAAATGGCTGATACCAGGTCTGGTTCAGAAAATGTGTAATAGAGATTTAAATAGCTTTTATACTAAAAATTAAAGAAGCTTCATATAAAAATCAAGTAGTCTACCTGAACAAGTCCCTCCAGTGGCCAAAAATAGAATACATGTAGCATCAATAAGCAAAATGGCAATGAATTGAAACACACTGTTTCACAGTAATACTTTAAAAATTATTAAAAACCTTTGAAGTATGCTAGAGAAAAACTATTAATTTGGAAACTTGTAAGTAAAGAGAAAGAATTAAGCATTTGTCATTCCTTTCTTATGTAATACATGCCTCAGGGTAAGCAAGTCATCCATTAACAGAAGTTCTTGTTTAGTATACCTCTATAAGAGGTACACTAGCTAATAAACAAAGAAGGAATGATGGAATCATTCCTGTAATGCCTGATTAGATTTTGAATCTAATAGGAAATGGTTATTGGTGGCCAATAACATGGAGAGAAAATTATATAGTATCTATGTAATTCCCTGGTAGAAGTACCCTACCCAGTACCACATATGAAGTAGTATTGCCAAAAACAAAAAACAAACAAAAAATCCTAACCTGAATCTGACCATGCCTTCTATCTAGCCACTGGTGTATAGGAAATAGAGAGAAAGAGAAAGAAACATGTTAAATGACACTATGGGAATGCACTTAGTAAAGTCTAGACACGAGAAATGTCTGTAGGATAAATGACTTGCAAAAAACAAAAACAGCAAAAAAAAAAATTTCAAGAATTGTAATGTGTGAATTATTTATGTATTCATTCAAACAAATTTGAAATGATTAAAAGACAATTGAGAGATGTAAACATTTATTGGAAATTTAATGATATTAAGAAATGATGATTTTAGGACATGATAATTATATTAAAGGCATTTTTAAAGGATCCCTTATCTTTTAAAGGTTCACATTATGCTAAATGAAATAAGCCAGTCAGAGAAAGACAATACCGAATCATTTTGTTGATATGTGGAATCTAATGAACAAACTAAACTAACAAGGAAAATGGGAACAGACTCATAGATGGAGAGCAGGATGACATTTAGTGGGTGGGGGGGAAAGGTTGCAGGGAGTGGTTGAGGAAAAAGGACTCATGGACATAGACAACAGTATGGTGATTGCTGGGGGGAGGGGGTTATAAAGGGACTAAATGGTAATGGGAAAAATACAACAAAGATTAAATAAACAATAAAATATTTATTTTAGATATAAAAACAATGATGGGCTTAGCTATTTCTATTTCTTGGTCAAAGGATCATTTCCTGAGTTTTAAAAAATATTTTAAGCAATATTTTCCTCAATTAATAGGTAACTTTTTTGTATGTGTGAAAGTCTAATTGGATCATAAAAAACCTTAGATTCCAAGGAAAATTTTGTTTCTAACTCATCTTGGGACAATCATGTTAGTCAGAGAAACTCTGCATAATATCTGAAAAAAATGTATAATAAACATTATGTGTAGAATCCTTACTGCTTCAAAACTCAGAATTTTCCTTATAAGAATGATAATTCAAAAGGATTTGAAAATCATTTTTATTTTCCCTGATTGGACTTACCTGTCTCCCATTTGCATGTAAACTTCCTTTCTTGCATATTTTCAATGGCCCAATAAGCCCAGTGAATATATCTTTGGTGGGATCCACAGCAGAATAATACATCTTAGATAGACAGACAGGGTCCTTATAAGTGGGTCCCACTTCTTTTGGGACAGACCATTCATAAGTGAATGTTTCTTTGGGTGGCACATAGGAGGCTGAAGGATGAGGCACACCTGTGAGAAAGATCATATCACTGAGGTTAAGAGTACTTTCTAATGTGGCAAATTGAGCCACAAATGAGACTGGGTTTAGTCTAGGATAACCCACTTCTGAGCTTCCTATGAGTTAGAATGGAATCCTACTTGAGTAAAATCCTCTTTGTGCTCCAGTGTGAGGTCACTGCTGGATGTGATTTCCTCCAGGAAGCCTCCTCTAAAGTTCTGTCTGAGACTGGTGCTTGCTACCATCAAAAGGTTTGCAACCACGTCCCCCAAATTCACATATTGGAACCCTAATGCCCTAATGTGATGGTGTTAGGTGAGGCCTTTGGGAGATGATTAGGTCACAAGAGTGGAGCCATACTGAAGGGGATTAGTGACCTTATAAAAGAGGCCCCACAGAGCTGCTTAGCCCTTTCACCAAGTAAGGATATAATAGGAAACCTGAGATCCAGAAGAGGGCCCTCTCCCAACCATGCCCTGATCTCTAGCTTCCCACCACCAGAATTGTAAGAAACAAATGTCTTGTTTACAAACCATCTAGTCTGAGGTAATTAGTTATAGCAGCCTGAATGGACTAAGAACAGTGCCTTCTTTTCCTCTCACGGCTCTAAGAATGTCTCTAGCACCTTGCGTGCCATATTGTGCATATCCCCCACCCTTACCCAAACAGAACTTAACCTTGAAGGCAAGCATTGCCTCTATCAGCTAGAACAACACCTGGAAATAGGAGGTAATTGATGAATTTTTCTATTGAACAAAACTAAACTGAAAATAATTTTATAACTGAAAGAGAACTTGTTGATGATAGTGTTATCTCCCAATTTTACACTTGAGGAAACTGAGGATATCTTGCTTTCAGTCACACCACAAGTGGTGGTAAAGCTACTAGTCTTTATTGGTCACCCTTGACATAAAAATACCCAAATACATACATATGATGGAATATTTTTATCATTAAAATGACATTCATAAAATACTTACAATGAAAAGAAAACAAACTGTGGGTACAAAATTATAATGATAGGTATATTTATACACTACAACCTCAACCATATGTAAAATATACGTTATATTTTACATCCACAAATGAAAGAGTACAGGAATTGTAGAAAAATATAGTAGTGGTTATATATAGAACTATGGATAATATTTTGAGCTGTACCTTTTTATATTTTTAAAATATTCTAAAGTGATTACCTACTATTCTTATAATAATAAGAACCTTTTTAAAATTTAAAAATCACCCAAATGGTACTCCAGAAATGTATAATTGATATAATCCAAGTAAGTTACAGCCAGCATTGTCAATAATCATCCAATTAAGACAGGAAAAAATTCCATAACCCAATTGGAAATGGTAGGAGAAGAGGTGTGTTTGCTTCCTGATGGTATATGAGCAGCTTTCTCAGAAGTCCTGCCTTCAGTTTTTGTGGGACTGAGGTGAGTGGCACAGTGGGTTATTAAACATTGTTGATTGGTTACAGAGCGCTATACTTACTTCTACTTTCAGGGTTGTAATGAGAGGCATAGAATGTGCCCTCGTTGCTCTTACTGACTCTTATTCCAACTGGCTCAATGCTGAGGGGATATGCTCCTTTATTACGGAAGGTTATTTGGATGGTGTCTCCCACCTCTGCCCAGATGACAGGACCTAGGGACAAAGAAAATTGTTATCCTTTTTGGTATGTAACATACAGAATATTTTCTTTGGCTTGTCTTCTGGCAAGAACCACTGTGAACAACATGCTTATCTGTGGCAAATAGAAAGACTGGATTTTAAGAGCTCATTATTAGTTTGACATGATGAGATTAGAGAGAGATGAGCTGGGCTTTTCAACTCAGCTTCAGGTTAATGAAATTTGTTATCATTTTATCCAAGTCAGTTCACAAGCTTTATTCATCTACAAGAAACTGTTCAGAGGGTCCAAGCTTTCCTCACCCTAGTCTTCTGTTGGCTAGATGGGTGTTATTCTTGACAAGAGTCAAGGGGTGCTATAATCTCTGACTACACAAAGAAGGTACATTCAATTTTCTTGGATGTGAAGAGTAACACTGCTGTGAATTTTCCATCACCAAAACTCTTACTATCACCAAATATAGAATAAAACATAGATATTCAGTATATAAGTATTTTATGTAATATGTAAAATGCTATTTATTGAGAGCTTCCTACATGCTTTTTGGAGTGTTTATGTGAATTAACTCATTTAATCCTTACAACAGCTCTAGAGATAGGGATTATTATTATTATTATTATTTCCATTTTATAGAAAGGGGAGAGGCACAGAAAATTGAGTACTCTCAAAGGTCACACAGCTAACAGGTGAAGAGTGGGGACAGTCTGTATGCACCCACTCTGCTGTTCTGCCTGAGTGCCTAAGCAAGGACAGGTCTTTGGGCTCTGCCTGAGGGCAGTCTACCGAAGGCTCTCAGACCAACACAGCCTATCTCATTAGCAGCCTGGAGTTTATTTCTAAGGGAATGTATCTTTAGCTAAGGGTGGGGGCTAATTGCTTCATTGCCTATTTAAAAAACTCACCTAAACACAGAATTCCCCTTACCTCTTTGATGAAAAAGAAAATCACCATTTGAAGCAGCATGGTTTTTAATTATGAAGATTTACTATTGGTAACTTGCATGTGGAAAAGTAAATCAGCTGATGCATGTTACTGATGATTGATCTTCCACATCCCTACTTTTTATGTAGAAGGCATGCTGTAGGTCCTGTAGTCTCTGTTTTCTCTGAGGTTTGTGTAGCAGCTACTTTCAGGGTTGTAAGGGGAAGAGCACAATGGTCATTCATGTTCTGCATGGACTCACCCAAGATGCCAAGATGTTCCTCTTCAGGACCTCTTTCCTTTTGATTTGTGAAGGAGGCATCTGTGTACTCACGATAAACCAGTTTTTTATAAGAGCCTCCAATTCTCGTAGGACCTTGTTCAAAAAATACCTCTGAAGCACTGCCAAAATGAAAAATGTTTAATGCTGGAGTTGAAGCATTAAATAGAAAGCAGGTATTCACATAGGATACTGATTGAAGAGAAAAATCCTGACCAGTGCTTAGAGAAAATTATCACCCATGATTTACTAAATACTCAGACTAGGCCACTTCATAGAGCGATGTTCAATTAAGGAATGGAGAATCAAGGCAAAGAAGTTCCATTTTTCCAAGTGAGGTAAAAAAAAATTTAAGAAGGCCCATATCAACTCCTGATGGTTAATAAATTATTCTGAAATTGAATCCTTACTTGAATCAGATAAGATGGAGGCATAGGTAAAAATGCTTTGTCTCCTAGACAACTACAGAAAAATTACATCTAGACTACAGAGCAAATAACACCTAGAATCATCAGCATATCAATCCATATGGAAGTCTAACAACAAAGGATTTAAAGAAGCCATATTCATTCAGGCAGATAGGAGGCATAAGATACGGAGAGAGGTGGAGAGGTGTGGGGGCTGCAGAAGTGGCGTGGAGCTGTTAGAATGGCACAGAGAGGTGGTGGAACAGGTAGCCCCACATTCATATGTGGTGGTTAAAAATCATGAGGGATACTTCAGGAGTGAGGGATCCTAGCACCCAAACAGGCTACCCAGCAGCCCAGGGTTCCAATGCCAGGAAGATAAATCCCCATAATTTCTTGCTGTAAAAACCAGTGGGGGTTGGGGTGATGGAAGCAACTGCTGGAGTATCAGGACACTCGTCTTAAAGGACCCACATGGATTTAGGACTTATATAGACCCACCCACTCTGGGATTTAGCACCAGAGCAGCAGCTGGAAGGGCACAAGTGGCACACAGGGAGAAAGTGAGGAGAATGGAAACAGAGAAAATGCTGGGAGACATCTTCTTCCCAGGCAAACCTCCAGAATAGGCAGTAGCATTGTTTCCTCTCTGAGCCCTCCCCCACACAGAGCAATAACACAGGGAAATGGGTTGCCCCACCCTGGTGATCACCTAACGTTCCACTTCATGAAATTTACAGGTCCACTCTTCTACAACAGGCCACGTTACTGAGAGAGAGAGAGAGAGAGAGAGAGGGAGAGAGAAAGAGGGAGGGAGTCAAAGCAGCTCTACCTAATACACAGAAACAAACACAGGGAGGCTGCCAAATTGAGGAGATGAAGAAATATGGTCCAATTGAAAGAATAGAACAAAATTCCAGACAAAGAATGAAACAAAATGGAGATAACTAACCTATCAGATACAGAGTTCAAAATACTGGTGATCAGGATGCTCAAAAAACTCATTGAGTATGGCAACAACATAAAAAAGAACCAGGCAGAAATGAAGGTTACAGTAAGCCAAATAGTGAAGAATCTATAGGGACCAAACAATGGAGGGGATGAAACTGAGAATCAAATAAACAATTTGGAATACAAGGAAGAAAAAAGCATTCAACCAGAACAGCAAGAAAAAAAAAGAATTGAAAGAAAAAAAAAGAATAGAATAAGAAGCTTCTGGGATATCTCCAAATGTACCAACATTTGAATCATAGGGGGACTCTAGAAGGAGAAGAGGAAGAGCAAGAAACCAAAAACTTATTTGAAAAAATAGTGAAAGAAAAAATCCCTAATTTGGTGGAGGAAATAGACATAGAAGTCCAGGAAGCCCAGAGAGTCCAAAACAAGTTGAACCCAAAGAGGAACACACCAAGATACATCAAAATTAAAATGCTAAAAAGCAGCAAGAGAAAAGCAGAGAGTTACCTACAAAGGAGGTCCCTTAAGACTGTCAGGTGATTTCTCAAAAAAAAACACAAAACTTTGCAGGCTAGAAGGGACTGTCAGGAAGTACTCAAAGTGATGAAAAGCGAGGACCTACAACCAAGATTACTCTATCCAGCAAAGCTACCATTTAGATAGGGCAAATAAAGTACAAATAAAGCAAGGGCAAAGAAAGTGTTTCTCAAAGAAGGTAAAGCTAAAAGAATTAATCATTACCAAGCCATCATTATATGAAATGTTAAAGAGACTTATTTAAGAAAAAGAAGATCAAAACTATGAACATTAAAGTGGTAACAAATTTACAACAATCAACAATGGAATCTAAAAAAGCAAACCACGCAAACAACTAGAATAGGAACAGAATCATAGATATGGAGATTACTTGGAGGATTATCATCAGCAGGGAGAGGAAAGGTGGAGAATGGGGGAAAAGGTGCAGGGATATAGTAACATCAATTGATAGGTACAAAATAGATAGGGGGAGGTTAAGAATAGTGTAGGAAATGTGAAGCCAAAAAACTTATATGCGTGACCCATGGACATGAACTAAGGGTGGGGGGGGGTAGGGGGTGGAGGATTGCTGGAGGGAATGGAGGTACTGGGCAGAGGGAGGCAAAGAAGGAAAAATTGGGGTAACTGTAGTATCATAATCAATAAAGCATATTAAAAAAGAAATACATTTTTGTCATTATTAAAAATAAAAAATAAAAATAAAATTGAATCTTTATCCCTGGCCAGTGTGACTCAGTTGGTTGGAGTATCATCCTGTGCACTGAAAGGTTGTGGGTTTGATCCCTGGTCAGGAAGCCAAGGGGAAGCAACTAATCAATGTTTCTTTGTTACATTGATGTTTCTCTCTCTCTCTCTCTCCAGATTTCTTCTCTCTCTAAAAGCAATGAAAAAAATGTCTTTGGTTGAGGACAAAAAAATTTTTTTAAAACTGAGTCATCCTGACTGGTTTGGCTCAGTTAGTTTAGGGGTCTTCCTACAAAATGAAGGGCTGCTGGTTTGATTCCTGATTAGGGCAAATGCCTGAGTTGCACATTCAGTTCTTGGTTGGGGTGCATGCAAGAGGCAACCCATCAGTATTTTTGCATTGATGTTTCTCTCCCTCTATTTCTCCCTCCATTCCCCTCTCTCTGAAAATAAATAAGTAAAATATTTTTTAAAAACTGAATCTTTAAACAAATTATGGAATGTTTTAAAACACAGTAGCTACTGCTTATTGCATGTTAGCACCAACCAGGTGCTCATATGGGAATGCAACAAAGTTTGTAATAGTCTTCTTATTTTACAGATGAAGAAATTCAATCTTAGAAAGACATTTGACTTCACAAAGCCACCCATTCATCTTTTCTTTCATTGGACAAATGTATTAAACACCTGCTGTTTGCCAGGAATTCTATGATGTGCTGATGACATAACCATAAGCAAGCAGGACCCAACTCTGTGCACATTAACCTGACATCTGACAGAGAAGACAGACTATGAACCAATCAATATGATAATATGTAATTAGCACAATATATTATGGAGCATTTCTCCTGGAGCTGGGGAAAGTTCTGGAAAGAGGCTCTCAAAGGCTTTCCAGAGGAAGTGATTTTTTAAAACCATCTAGAAGAGAAGTAGAATTAAAAAGGTGAAGTGTGTGTAGTGGGAGAATGGGGCAGGTATTGACAAATAAGAAACAGCCTGTAGGGCAGCACACAGTATGACAGCAGTACAGCATGCAGGGCAGGGCAGGAACAGAGAATGAGGAGTGAACAGGAGGAACTAATTAAGGCTTTCAGTATTCTATTCCAGGGCAGTGGGAAAGCTTTGAAAGATGTAAGCATTTAGGATTCATGTTTAGTGGGATTCCTTGGGCTGCTACTTGGAAAATGTGTTACCAAAAGCTAGACTGCAGTAGGGAGACAAATCAGGAGGCAGGTTCAAAAACTCAGTGGGAGGTAGTGATGACTTCAGAGGTTTTGGCAAAGAGGATGGAGAGAAATAGACAGCTCTCAGGGATATTTAGGATATAATGTATATGATGAGAGAAGACGGGATTGGTGAAAGAGAGAGGGAGTCAAAGATGGTGCTCAGGCTTGTTGCTTGATAGATGGATGATGATTTATTCAAGGACAGAAGGCAACAAAGAATTGTGAGAAAGATAATGGATTTAGGTTTGGATGTACTGATCTGAAAAAGCTTCAACCTAGTGGGCTGCCAATTAAGCAGTTTGAAATGCAAAGAGCATTTTGGGCTAGAAATGCAGTTTTGAGAGTAAGTGCATCTGGATATCCATGTAGCCTGGGCCTTAAATCTCTGCTTCAGGAATCATAGAACCTGGGTTGAGCCAGCCCAATTATTGACTTTTGCATTGTTCAGTAAATTACCTAATCTAAGTAGTTGAATGGCAAACAAAGCTTCTCTGAAGAGGTGATATTTAAGCAGAAACTTGAAGCAGGGAGGTGGCAGGATCTCATTGATATTTTGAAACTTCACAATGGATTACAGTAGAAAAAAAGATTGGAGCTGGAAGAATGGCTCAGAGGTTGTGGAAAACATCAGACATGTACAAAGAGTAACTTTTGTCAATTAATGGATATGCATGATCAAGAGAGTGACAAGAAAACCTACAGATAGGAGAAAATATTAACAAAGCATATATCTGATAAAGGGTTAATATCTAAAATATCTGATGATCCAAGAAGGTGGCAGAGTAGATGGAAGCTACACTAACCTCTTCCAAGGACAAAACTGGAAATACAACAAAATTATAGAGAAACCATTCTGAATAAATAACTGAACACTAGCTGGAGAGAAGCCTTTTAACCAAGGACTTACAGAAGAAATCATATCGCCACAGTGAGACTGGCAGGAAGCATAGAGTTGTGAGGGGGCTGCCTGGGCTTCCACACATGGCAGCTGAAGTTCTGGAGAGATATTTCAGCAGCTGGTGGGGTCCCCCTGAGAAGTGTGGGGTCTAAACACCAAGCCGGGCTCCCCAGCCTAAAGCACCAGAGCTGGGAAAGGAACCCAAATAACATGTGGCTGTGAAAAGCAGAGGGGTTTCTGTCCTTCAGACAGAGATGGCTAGAGATGAAGAGAGCCTACTCAAGGGCCGACACACAAAATTTCATTTGTAGCCACTTACCCTGGGCTCCTGCAGAGGGAGGGCAGAGCAGACTAGAGCCACATGAGGAAAATTTAAGATTGATGGTGTTGGTGAGAGAGCTGAAGGATAAGCT